TGGGTGGTGTTAAGGAACATGGGTGGTGTGAAGGAACATGGGTGGGGTGAAGAAATATGGGTGGTGTGAAGGAACATGTGTGGTGTGAAGGAACATAGGTGGTGTGAAGGAACATGGGTGGTGTGAAGGAATATGAGTAGTGTAAAGGAACATGGGTGGTGTAAAGGAACATGGACGGTGTGAAGAAACATAGGCGGTGTGAAGGAACATAGTTGGTGTGAAGGAACATAGGTGGTGTGAAGGAACATGGGCGGTGTGAAGGAACATTGATGTAAAGGAACATAGTTGGTGTGAAGGAACATGGGCGGTGTGAAGGAACATTGGCGGTGTGAAGGAATATGGGTGGTGTGAAGGAAAATTGTGGTGTGAAGGAACATTGGTGGTGTGAAGGAACATAGGTGGTGTGAAGGAACATAGGTGGTGTGAAGTAACATTGTTGGTGTGAAGGAACATTGGTGGTGTGAAGGAATATGGGCGGTGTGAAGTAACATAGGCAGTGTGAAGGAACATTTTTGGTGTGAAGGAACATTGGTGGTGTGAAGGAACATTGGTGGTGTGAAGGAACATGGGTGGTGTGAAGGAACATGGGTGGTGTGAAGAAACATTGGTAGTGTGAAGGAACATGGGTGGTGTGAAGGAACATGGGTGGTGTGAAGGAACATGGGCGGTGTGAAGGAACATGGGTGGTGTGAAGGAACATGGGCGGTGTGAAGGCACACGGGCGGTGCAAAAAAAACATGGGCGGTGTGAAGAAACATGGGCGGTGTGAAGAAAGATAGGCGGTGTGAAGGAACATAGGCAGTGTGAAGAAACATAGGCGGTGTGAAGGAACATAGGTGGTGTGAAGTAACATTGTTGGTGTGAAGGAACATAGGTGGTGTGAAGGAACATAGGTGGTGTGAAGTAACATTGTTGGTGTGAAGGAACATTGGTGGTGTGAACGAATATGGGCGGTGTGAAGTAACATAGGCAGTGTGAAGGAACATTTTTGGTGTGAAGGAACATCGGCCATGTGAAGGAACATGGGTCATGTGAAGGAACATGGGTCATGTGAAGGAACATGGGTCATGTGAAGGAACATGGGCGGTGTGAAGAAATTTGGGTGATGTGAAGGAACATGGGCGGTGTGAAGAAACATGGGTGGTGTGAAGGAACATGGGTTTTGTGAAGGAACATATGTGGTGTGAAGGAACATGGGCGGTGTGAAGGAACATGGGTGGTGTGAAGGCTCATGTCCAAACATCAAGAGCCAGAGATGCCAGAAATGCACATGTCAATCAAGACGATGCAGGTAAGACCGGCCCAGTCTCCGGGTGTAAAGATCGTTGTGAAGAACCGGAAGTGCGGGAGGAAGTGGAATGTTTTTTTAATCTATGCCAGGAAACAAGGACAACATGTGAAGAGAACCTGCGGGAAGCAAGTGGTTTCGGCTTCTTCTCTGAGCCCTCGCCTGGCCATCAGTGAACTGAAACTCACAAACAAGCAAGCACGAGCAGGTCAAACGCTGGGGGGAGTGAGGATGGCAAGTTTCTCTAGACAAGAACGCCCATCTGCCAAGAGCAGTCATTAGACATTTTAGGTATGTTGCAGGCAACTAACTCACTGGTTGCCTTATGTATGTTATAGAAAGTTATCGATGACTTCAGGTATGTTGTGGGTTAACTACACAAGCAAAAGATGCGCAGTATACACACTGCTAACAGACTACTGATAAATATATGTATAGTGATATACCACAGAAGGAACCATACACTAGTGACACAGAACATAAGTGATACACCACACAGATGTAGAAACCAACTGTTAGCTGGCTTAAATTCCCTTCTACTCAATGTCTCAAATACTGAATTTCCCTTCTATTAAAAAAAGGCTAAAATACTGACATTCCCTCCCCTACAATGGCTAAAATACTGGCCTATACTTGCACAAAACGCTGAAATACTGAACTTCCCTACACAAGATGCCTGAACCCTCAATTTCCTTTCCTCACAATGGCTAAATACTGAACTTCTCCCCACACTATTTCTGAAATACTGAATTTACCTCCCACACAATGGGTAAAATATTGAACTTCCTTTCCACACAATGACTGAAATACTGAGTTTCCTTCCCACACAATGACTGAAATATTAAACTTCTTTCCCATACAATGACTGAAATATCGAAATTCTTTCCCACACAATGACTGAAATATTGAACTTTTCTATGGCTAAGTCTCAATGGGTCTGTATCTCTATACATGAAACTGAGGCGTTATTGAGAACGTCTCTTAAGCATTGATAACGTTATTATGATTGCTCTCTCTTCATTGTTAACAACGCTATTGGGCTGTTGTTTTTTGTATTGCGAACAGAGCTATTGTGATGTTCTCTGAATCAATGTGTGCTGGTTGGTCTAGGTGTGAGTGTGTGCTGGTTGGTCTAGGTGTGAGTGTGTGCTGGTTGGTCTAGGTGTGAGTGTGTGCTGGTGGGTAGGTGTGAGTGTGTGCTGGTTGGCTAGGTGTAAGTGTGTGCTGGTTGGCTAGGTGTGAGTGTGTGCTGATGGGCTAGGTGTGGGTGTGTGCTGATGGGCTAGGTGTGAGTGTGTGCTGATGGGCTAGGTGTGAGTGTGTGTGCTGGTTGGCTAGGTGTGAGTGTGTGCTGGTTGGGCTAGGTGTGAGTGTCTGCTGATGGGCTAGGTGTGGGTGTGTGCTGGTTGGCTAGGTGTGAGTGTGTGTGCTGATGGGCTAGGTGTGAGTGTCTGCTAATGGGCTAGGTGTGAGTGTGTGTGCTGATGGGCTAGGTGTGGGTGTGTGCTGGTTGGCTAGGTGTGAGTGTGTGTGCTGATGGGCTAGGTGTGGGTGTGTGCTGATGGGCTAGGTGTGGGTGTGTGCTGATGGGCTAGGTGTGAGTGTGTGCTGGTTGGCTAGGTGTGAGTGTGTGTGCTGATGGGCTAGGTGTGAGTGTCTGCTGATGGGCTAGGTGTGAGTGTGTGTGCTGATGGGCTAGGTGTGGGTGTGTGCTGGTTGGCTAGGTGTGAGTGTGTGTGCTGATGGGCTAGGTGTGAGTGTCTGCTGATGGGCTAGGTGTGAGTGTGTGTGCTGATGGGCTAGGTGTGGGTGTGTGCTGGTTGGCTAGGTGTGAGTGTGTGTGCTGATGGGCTAGGTGTGGGTGTGTGCTGATGGGCTAGGTGTGGGTGTGTGCTGATGGGCTAGGTGTGGGTGTGTGCTGGTTGGCTAGGTGTGAGTGTCTGCTGATGGGCTAGGTGTGAGTGTGTGTGCTGATGGGCTAGGTGTGGGTGTGTGCTGATGGGCTAGGTGTGAGTGTGTGCTGGTTGGGCTAGGTGTGAGTGTGTGCTGATGGGCTAGGTGTAAGTGTGTGCTGGTTGGGCTAGGTGTGAGTGTGTGGTGGTTGGGCTAGGTGTGAGTGTGTGGTGGTTGGGCTAGGTGTGAGTGTGTGGTGGTTGGGCTAGGTGTGAGTGTGTGCTGGTTGGCTAGGTGTGAGTGTGTGGTGGTTGGGCTAGGTGTAAGTGTGTGCTGGTTGGGCTAGGTGTGAGTGTGTGCTGGTTGGCTAGGTGTGAGTGTGTGGTGGTTGGGCTAGGTGTAAGTGTGTGCTGGTAGGCTAGGTGTAAGTGTGTGCTGGTTGGCTAGGTGTGAGTGTGTGCTGATGGGCTAGGTGTAAGTGTGTGCTGGTTGGCTAGGTGTGAGTGTGTGCTGGTTGGGCTAGGTGTGAGTGTGTGCTGGTTGGGCTAGGTGTGAGTGTGTGCTGGTTGGCTAGGTGTGAGTGTGTGCTGATGGGCTAGGTGTGAGTGTGTGCTGGTTGGGCTAGGTGTGAGTGTGTGCTGATGGGCTAGGTGTGAGTGTGTGCTGGTTGGCTAGGTGTGAGTGTGTGCTGGTTGGCTAGGTGTGAGTGTGTGCTGATGGGCTAGGTGTGAGTGTGTGCTGGTTGGCTAGGTGTGAGTGTGTGTGCTGGTTGGCTAGGTGTGAGTGTGTGCTGGTTGGCTAGGTGTGAGTGTGTGCTGGTTGGCTAGGTGTGAGTGTGTGGTGGTTGGGCTAGGTGTGAGTGTGTGCTGGTTGGCTAGGTGTGGGTGTGTGCTGATGGGCTAGGTGTGAGTGTGTGGTGGTTGGGCTAGGTGTGAGTGTGTGCTGGTTGGGCTAGGTGTGAGTGTGTGCTAGTTGGGCTAGAATGAGGACAGTCAACTGCTACAACACAGTGACATGAGAACAGTCTAGTGCTACAACACTGTGACATGAGGACAGTCAAGTGCTACAAAACAGTGACATGAGGACAGTCTAGTGCTACAACACTGTGACATGAGGACAGTCAAGTGCTACAACACAGTGACATGAGGACAGTCTAGTGCTACAACACTGTGACATGAGGACAGTCAAGTGCTACAACACTGTGACATGAGGACAGTCGAGTGCTACATCACAGTGACATGAGAACAGTCTAGTGCTACATCACAGTGACATGAGGACAGTCAAGTGCTACAAAACAGTGACATGAGGACAGTCAAGTGCTACAACATACTGACATGAGGACAGTCAAGTGCTACAAAACAGTGACATGAGAACAGTCTAGTGCTACAACACAGTGACATGAGGACAGTCTAGTGCTACAACACAGTGACATGAGGACAGTCGAGTGCTACAACACAGTGACATGAGGACAGTCAAGTGCTACAACATACTGACATGAGGACAGTCAAGTGCTACAACACACTGACATGAGGACAGTCAAGTGCTACAACACAGTGACATGAGGACAGTCAAGTGCTACAACACAGTGACATGAGGACAGTCAAGTGCTACAACACAGTGACATGAGGACAGTCAAGTGCTACAACACAGTGACATGAGGACAGTCAAGTGCTACAACACAGTGACATGAGGACAGTCAAGTGCTACAACACAGTGACATGAGGACAGTCTCACAAAGAACAAAGTGCTACATCACAGTGACATTAGTAGCATCTCAAAAAGAACAAAGTGCTACATCACACTGACAGCTTCTACTGACCATGGTAGGCTGCCTTAGCAGTTCCCCGGACAATGTGCTTAAACTCCCGGTCCATGTCAGGGTCATGAACTTTGATGAGAATGTATTTGAACTTGCCACTCTTGTCAATCTCCACGTCAGGTATTGACATTAGCTTGGGATTCTTGAAGGAGGTGACTGATGCCGTCTGTGAGGTGGCCATGTTGATGGCTGACAATACTCTGTGAGGAAACATGAAACAACACAAGGTGACTGATGCCGTCTGTGAGGTGGCCATGTTGATGGCTGACAATACTCTGTGAGGAAACATGAAACAACACAAGGTGACTGATGCCGTATGTGAGGTGGCCATGTTGATGGCTGACAATACTCTGTGAGGAAACATGAAACAACACAAGGTGACTGATGCCGTCTGTGAGGTGGCCATCTTCATAGTAAACAACAATACTCTATGAGGAAACAGGAGGTTAAATCATAGAACAACAAAAATCAGTGTAGTAAATGACACAGCACTGTGGTGGTATGTGATCATGGCAGTATATGACTGCAGTGGTATGAGACTGGCGGTATGTGATCATGGCAGTATATGACTGCAGTGGTATGAGACTGTGGTGGTAAGTGATCATGGCAGTATATGACTGCAGTGGTATGAGACTGTGGAGGTATGTGATCATGGCAGTATATGACTGCAGTGGTATGAGACTGAGGTGGTATGTGATCATGGCACTATATGACTGCAGTGGTATGAGACTGGCGGTATGTGATCATGGCAGTATATGACTGCAGTGGTATGAGACTGGCGGTATGTGATCATGGCAGTATATGACTGCAGTGGTATGTGACTGTGGTGGTATGTGATCATGGCAGTATATGACTGCAGTGGTTTGAGACTGTGGTGGTATGTGATCAAGGCAGTATATGACTGTTATGGTATGAGACTGTGGTGGTATGTGATCATGGCATTATTTGACTGCAGTGGTATGAGACTGTAGAGGTATGTGATCATGGCAGTATATGACTGCTGTGGTATGTGACTGTGGTGGTATGTGATCATGGCAGTATATGACTGCAGTGGTATGAGACTGTGGAGGTATGTGATCATGGCAGTATATGACTGCTGTGGTATGTGACTGTGGTGGTAAGTGATCATGGCAGTATATGACTGCAGTGGTATGAGACTGTGGTGGTATGTGATCATGGCAGTATATGACTGCAGTGGTTTGAGACTGTGGTGGTATGTGATCAAGGCAGTATATGACTGCAGTGGTATGAGACTGTGGTGGTATGTGATCATGGCAGTATATGACTGCAGTGGTTTGAGACTGTGGTGGTATGTGATCAAGGCAGTATATGACTGTTATGGTATGAGACTGTGGTGGTATGTGATCATGGCATTATTTGACTGCAGTGGTATGAGACTGTAGAGGTATGTGATCATGGCAGTATATGACTGCTGTGGTATGTGACTGTGGTGGTAAGTGATCATGGCAGTATATGACTGCAGTGGTATGAGACTGTGGAGGTATGTGATCATGGCAGTATATGACTGCTGTGGTATGTGACTGTGGTGGTAAGTGATCATGGCAGTATATGACTGCAGTGGTATGAGACTGTGGAGGTATGTGATCATGGCAGTATATGACTGCAGTGGTATGAGACTGTGACGGTATGTGATCATGGCAGTATATGACTGCTGTGGTATGTGACTGTGGTGGTAAGTGATCATGGCAGTATATGACTGCAGTGGTATGAGACTGTGATGGTATGTGATCATGGCAGTATATGACTGCAGTGGTATGAGACTGTGGTGGTATGTGATCATGGCATTATTTGACTGCTGTGGTATGAGACTGTGACGGTATGTGATCACGGCAGTATTTGACTGCAGTGGTATGAGGCTGTGATGGTATGTGATCATGGCAGTATATGACTGCAGTGGTATGAACTGTGGAGGTATGTGATCATGGCAGTAAATGACTGCTGTGGTATGAGACTGAGGTGGTATGTGATCATGGCAGTATTTGACTGCAGTGGTATGAGACTGAGGTGGTATGTGATCATGGCAGTATATGACTGCTGTGGTATGAGACTGTGGCGGTATGTGATCATGGCATTATTTGACTGCAGTGGTATGAGACTGTGGTGGTATGTGATCATGGCAGTATTTGACTGCAGTGGTATGAGACTGAGGTGGTATGTGATCATGGCAGTATATGAATGCTGTGGTATGTGACTGTGGTGGTATGTGATCATGGCAGTATATGACAGCAGTGGTATGAGACTGTGGAGGTATGTGATCATGGCAGTAAATGACTGCTGTGGTATGAGACAGGTGGTATGTGATCATGGCAGTATTTGACTGCAGTGGTATGAGACTGAGGTGGTATGTGATCATGGCAGTATATGACTGCAGTGGTATGAGACTGTGGTGGTATGTGATCATAGCAGTATATGACTGCAGTGGTATGTGACTGTGACGGTATGTGATCATGCCAGTATATGACTGCAGTGGTATGAGACTGTGGTGGTATGTGATCATGGCAGTATATGACTGCAGTGGTATGAGACTGTGACAGTATGCGATCATGGCAGTATATGACTGCAGTGGTATGAGACTGTGGTGGTATGTGATCATGGCAGTATATGACTGCTGTGGTATGAGACTGTGGTGGTATGTGATCATGGCAGTATATGACTGCAGTGGTATGAGACTGTGGTGGTATGTGATCATGGCAGTATATGACTGCAGTGGTATGAGACTGTGACGGTATGTGATCATGGCAGTATATGACTACAGTGGTATGAGACTGTGACGGTATGTGATCATGGCAGTGTATGACTGCAGTGGTATGAGACTGTGATGGTATGTGATCATGGCAGAATATGACTACAGTGGTATGAGACTGTGACGGTATGTGACCATGGCAGTATATGACTACAGTGGTATGAGACTGTGGTGGTATGTGATCATGGCAGTATATGACTACAGTGGTAAGAGACTGTGGTGGTATGTGATCATGGCAGTATATGACTGCAGTGGTATGAGACTGTGGCGGTATGTGATCATGGCAGTATATGACTGTTATGGTATGAGACTGTGGTGGTATGTGATCATGGCAGTATATGACTGCTGTGGTATGAGACTGTGGTGGTATGTGATCATGGCAGTATATGACTGATGTGGTATGAGACTGTGGTGGTATGTGATCATGGCAGTATATGACTGCAGTGGTATGAGACTGTGGTGGTATGTGATCATGACAGTATATGACTACAGTGGTATGAGACAGTGGTGGTATGTGATCATGACAGTATATGACTGCTCTGGTATGTGACTGCAGTGGTATGAGACTGCGGTGGTGTGTAATGTGGAAGTTAGCGTTTTGGTCAAACAAGCTGTCTACATGGTGTCCTATGCCACACAAAAGCTGTGATCTGTAAACCTCTGCTTGTGTTACTTACAATATTTCTATGCAGAGAAAAAAGTTACACTGGTCAACGTTGTGCCTGTTGTAAGGCTGCACATACTGGCTGCAGATCATGAAACCATTCGGTCATGTGGCCAGAGAGTCATGTGGCCAGAGGGTCATGTGGCCAGAGGATCATGTGGCCAGAGGGTCATGTGGCCAGAGGATCATGTGGCCAGAGGGTCATGTGGCCAGAGGGTCATGTGGCCAGAGCGTCACGTGGCCAGAGGATCACGTGGCCAGAGCGGGTGTCCAGACTAATAATATCTTCACTGTCTGGACTAATAATATTTTCACTGTCTGGACTAATAATCTTCACTGTCTGGACTAATAATATCTTCACTGTCTGGACTAATATTATCTTCACTGTCCCGACTAATAATATCTTCACTGTCTGGACTAATATTATCTTCACTGTCCCGACTAATATTATCTTCACTGTCCCGACTAATAATATCTTCACTGTCTGGACTAATAATATTTTCACTGTCTGGACTAATAATATCTTCACTGTCTGGACTAATAATATCTTCACTGTCTGGACTAATAATATCTTCACTGTCTGGACTAATAATATTTTCACTGTCTGGACTAATAATATCTTCACTGTCCCGACTAATAATATCTTCACTGTCTGGACTAATAATATTTTCACTGTCTGGACTAATAATATCTTCACTGTCTGGACTAACAATATTTTCACTGTCTGGACTAATAATATTTTCACTGTCTGGACTAATAATATTTTCACTGTCTGGACTAACAATATATTCACTGTCCGGACTAAATCTTCACTGTCCGGACTAACAATATCTTCACTGTCCGGACTAACAATATCTTCACTGTCCGGACTAACAATATCTTCACTGTCCGGACTAATAATATTTGTATACAACCATGTGTGGTCAAGTGTAATAAAAATGAAACAATCTAACAGCATCATGTGTGGCCGAGTAAAATAACTAGGAAACAATCATAGAGTGCCATGTGGTGTTAAGTGAAATAACTAGGAAACAATCATTTAGTGCCATGTGGTGTTAAGCGAAATAAATAGGAAACAGTCGTACAGTGCCATGTGGTGTTAAGCGAAATAACTAGGAAACAATCATTTAGTGCCAGGTGGTGTTAAGCGAAATAACTAGGAAACAATCAAACAACATCATGAGTGGGCAAATAAAATAATTAGAAAACAATCAAACAGCATCACGTGTGGGCAGGTGAAATAACTAGGAAACAATCAAACAACATCATGAGTGGTCAAGTGAAATAAATAGGAAACAATCTAACAGCATCAAGTGTGGGCAGGTGAAATAACTAGGAAACAATCAAACAGCATGTGTGGGAAAGTGAAATAACTAGGAAACAATCAAACAGCATCATGTGTGGGCACGTGAAATAACTAGGAAACAATCAAACAGCATGTGTGGGCAAGTGAAATAACTAGGAAACAATCAAACAGCATGTGTGGGCAAGTGAAATAACTAGGAAACAATCAAACAGCATGTGTGGGCAAGTAAAATAACTAGGAAACAATCAAACAGCATGTGTGGGCAAGTGAAATAACTAGGAAACAATCAAACAGCATCATGTGTGGTCAAGTGAAATAAATAGGAAACAATCTAACAGCATCATGTGTGGGCAAGTGAAATAACTAGGAAACAATCAAACAGCATCATGTGTGGGCACATGAAATAACTAGGAAATAATCAAACAGCATCATGTGTGGGGAGGTGAA